GCTGCTGACATGGGAAAGTGCTTATTAAGTGAAAAAGAAAATTTTAAAAACACAAACTATTTCTGGTGTGATCTCATTTTATTTAAAACAATATAGAGGAGGGAAATAATTCAATAAGTGAACAGTTATTATGTCCAAGTACTAGAATTGTGGGTTATTTTTGTTCTCTTGTTTAGACTTTTTCATATTTTCCAAGTTTCCAAAATGAACATATTAAAAAGTACTATTACAGTCATGAATTCTTTGACATTTGCTGAGGCTTTTTTTTTTATGTCTAAGTTTGTGGTTAAGTCTCATAAATGTTTCATATATGTTTGAAAAAAATATACTGTAGAGGATGATATTCTGTGTTATCACTGAGATATAGCTTGTTAAATGCTTTGCTCAAATCTATTTCCTTACTGATTTGTCTAGTTGAGCTACCAGTTACTGAGGGCGTACATACAAATATCTCATAATCCGATGGTGAATTTTGTCTGTTTCTCCCTGTAGTCCTGTCAATGAGGCAATGTTATTTGGTGCATATAAATTAGTATTGTTAGATCTTTCAGGTGAATTGAACCTTTAATCACTGTTATTACCTTCTTAACTTTTAATAAAGCTTTTAACTTTTTCATATCAGCTTGCTTGTCACTAGACTGTGCCTGACAAATTTCAACCTTTCTATATCTGTGTGTTTTAGATGTATCTTTTGTAAAAATCATACATGTTTAAATCCAGTTTGACAATCTTTGTCTTTTAACTGGATCATTTAATTCATTTAGATTTATTGTAATTACTGATATATTTGGATTTATTCTATCATGTTTTGTGTGTGTGTGTGTTTGTGTGTGTGTGTGTGTGTGTGTGTGTGTGTGTGCACGCGCGCGTGTGTTCTATTTGTCCTCTTTTCCATGAGTTTTTTTTCCTCCTCTTTACTGTTTTTTTTTGTGGATTGATTCCCCCCACCCCCCTTGCGTTCTTTCTCCCTCTGCTAGTTTGGAAGTTATATCACCTATTTGTACTCTTTTAGTGGATACTCCAGAAATTTTAGTATCGAAACTTGAATTAAGGAGAAATCAATGTCTTTATCTTCCTCTTGAAAAATATCAGATATTTGGAACACAATAACACTCTCACTCCCTTTAAGTGATATGCTTTTGTGATGTATTTATCTTTTCTTTAACCCCATAATGATAATTTTAATTATTGAAAATTTAAAAAATAATTTAAATTTATTATCATTATTTTATAAGGACAATATCTTTACTTACCTATTTACCCCTATAATTGCTCTTCATTTCTGGTTAAATCTTTAACTCTTCCATCTAGACTGTTTTCCCTCTGCCTGAGGTAAATACCTAACCTTTTCCTTTAGTGAGGGTCTATTGATGGCCAACTCAGTTTTGTATGTGACTGAAATGTCTTTATATCATACTTATTCTGGAGAGATTTTTGCTAGGTATAGTGTTCTGTAGTGACTTTCTCTCAGCATATTGACAATATTCCTCTCTTCTGGCTTCCACTCTTGTTATAGAGAAATAAACTCTCAGCCTATCTGTCATGCCTTTGAAGTTAATCTGTTTTTCTCCTCTGTCTGCTTTTAAGATTTTCTCTTATCTTGGTGTCTGCAGTATCTCTGTGATGTGATGTGTCTAAATGTGGGTTTTTAAAATTTTATCATACTGGGCTTTTGGAATCTGTGGATTTCATCAATTCTGGAATTTTATTATCTTTTAAAAATATTGCTTCTGACTTATTTCTCTTTTTCTGAAATTTTGACTAGGCCTTATTTGAGACCTTTTCTATTTATCTTCCATGTTTCTTAACCGGTCTTCAATATTTGCCATTCAAGAAATCTCTGTTTGGGCCGGCCGAGTGGCGCGATGGTTAAGAACTCGCTTGGGATGCCAGAGGGCCCCGGTTCGGATCCCACATATGAGGGCCAGTGACACTGCCCTCTACAGCTAAGATGCTGAACAACAGCTCAACCTGGAGCTGGGCTGCCATGAGTCACTGGCGACGGCGTAGGCTGCAGTCCCTGTGGCAGTGGGTTGCCATGGGCTACCATATGTAGCCAGCAGCCAGCGTGAGCGGCCAGCAGCCGCAGTGAGCGGCCGTCCAGAAGCCGGCGACTGATCTGCCTCGCCAGGGAAGAGCGCAATGATGGTGCCAATTTGGGCCAGTGAAGCAACATCCTCCACAACTAGAATGAAGAACAAAACGACAGCAACTTGTCTGTTCCCCTTCCCCCCCCAATTCCCCAGCACTGTTCCTATTCCCCTAATTCCCCAATAAAAATCTTTAAAAAAAAAAAAAAAAAAAGAAATCTCTGTTTACTAATTATTTTTTCAGATGTATCTAGTATGTCCATTGAGTTTTTATTTCAATTATTTTATTTTTCATTTCTAGAAATTCTAGAGTCTTTAGAGTCTCTTGCTGCTTCTGATATTTTCAATCCTTCTTTTATTTCTTTAAACATATTACACATTTTTATATACTGTACAAATATCTGAAGTTTTTTCTATTGTCTATTTTTTATCATTCAAAGGCCCTTGTTGTGTATTTTATGACTTTTGAGTGAGAACACATACTCCTTGAAATTTTATAGGATTCCTTTCAGGCTTAGGTTGGAGGTGAGCTTTTCCAGAGAAGTGTGTATTTGATTCTGCCAGCAGCTAAAGAGACAACTATTTGAGACAATGTTAAACACAATTCTTAGGTTAAGGCTTTGAATTTCCCAGGTAGTGTGAATTCAGGCTAAAACTCTCTTGTGATTGCCTTAAAGTCCCCAAATCTCGGGGGAGATTATAATTTTCCTCCATTACTTGTTTCAGGGTTTGAGGTGGTTATTTCTAGTTCATCCTTACACTGAGTATGAGGTCCTTTTGGGGTCCCAGTTCTAGTTAAGTGGTGTCTTAAATTTCATACTCATACCTTGGATAGACTCTGGGCACTGTCTCCTGTCCCTGTGCCCTCCCCCAAACTGTGAAACTGAAGCTCAAGGTCACCAAGTTCTGCATATGCCCTTAAGGTAAAAGTTTACTTTTGTTCACTTTCCTCTCTGTGTTCCTACTTTCAGAAATTTTCATCCTGTGAGTATTTCCAACTTTATTTTTTTTAATATATATAAAGCTTTGACCAGAGTTTTTAGTTGATTGCAGTTAGAGTGGGTATCTAGTTCACCATGCAGATGAAACAGAAACCTATTACTTTTACTGTGTATTCATTTTTGGTGATTATTTTATATTTTCCCTCTTCTCAAACATGAAATAAATTCTTTACAAGGGATCTATGAAGTTGTCATCTTTTCATAAAGCCGTAGAACAAAATGGACAGAGATATTAGTAAGAGAAAATATAGTCTAGTATACAACCAGGTCTGTCTTATTCCTAAATTAGATCAGAATCAGTTTATGCCCATTTTGTATATCATACAATTATAATTGAGTACATTAAATCAACATATCAGAAATGCCAGAGAGTCCTCATAATAAGCCTCTTCACGTATGGCTTCCATGGATATCTTACAACAAACCTCCACAGTACCTTATAATACAAAACAACTCAAATCAAGTTTCAGAACAAAAGAGAAAATGCGGTGAGTTGGGTATTGGAAACCCACAAAATATCCAAACTTTGCTATAGGATTAAAACTCTTTTCTTAATCAGTTACCATGTTTGTTGACAAATTATCAAATATACTGGCTCAAATTTCATTAATTTTTTTTCCCCTGCCCATTCTCTGAGGGTGGGATGATAGAGGATGAGTAAAATATCAAAGACTAAAAATCCCCAGGCCAGGTTTTTGATTCCCAAAGTAGTATTAACCATGGATTGCGGCCATCATCTGAGGTCAGTGCTTCCCAGTACAGGCTCTGGGAACGTCCTAAATTGTCTGACATTCCCCTCACTCTCTTCATTTTGGAGGTGTTACCAAGGAGAAAGGGAGCTAGGAAGACGAAGGGAAAGGATGGGGGATCAAGTATACAATATGCTTTGGAAGGAAACAACTAGCAATACCCTGACAGAACTTTTACTTAGGTTCAGAATTTAGTAAGCTTTGTATGAAGCTTGGATGGAGCCTGAACCTCTACCAAGATAGCTGCATTTGTTTGGCTTAACATTTCATAAAGTCTCTTAAAATGGAACCACCTCTGGGACTGAGCTGCCTTCTGAGCAGGAACCTCAAATCAGTGACACTGATTTGAGACGGAGGCAACCTGGAGAACACACTCCTATCCACAGGGCCAGCCTCTGCTCGGTTCCGCCAGCTGGTCATAGCCAGGAAGGTGGACCTGGTGATGTTTTCAAAAGCCAGAAATCAGCATTTTTATGAGAAATTTCATGATTTTTAAGTGTTAGTGGTTAATCCCACATTAAAAAAAGAAAACCATAGAGAAAGCCAAACAAAACACATTTGTGGGCTGGATCCAGTCCATGGGTCACCAGTGTGCAACCTTTGTGTTGGGACTTTATTATTCTCTGGAACCCCATTGTGAAAGAATTATTACCTCTTTTGCTGGAGCAGGGCGCAGGGAGAGAGAGGGAAGCAACGTAGGGCCACTCATGAAGAGCTGCGAGTGGACAGAGAGGAAGAGAAGTGGGGCGAAGGGAGAGAGGGCAGCCGGGCAGCCCTCATTGCTGAGTGAACTGGGCTGGGGGCCAGAAAGCCCCATGGTAGATACGCTGCCTTCCCAACAGCTGGATCTGAAAGAACAAATCAGATCCTATTTCAGGATGCTGTTCATTCCAAACGGGAACTTTTGGAGTCATTCTTTCCATATGAAATTTATAAAAGAACATAAAAAATATTTTCAGGGGTAATATGCAATATCCCTGAAAGGTAAGCAAGTTCATAATACTTATTTACACCCAACAAATGAAAGCTACTTTTATAGGTAATTCTTTTCTAGCCATCAATTAAACAGGTCTCTAAAGACTTCTACCAGCCAAGATTCCTTAGTTTGTTACATTAAAAAAAAATGTATAACACATCATTTTAGCATGTTTAGATGGACTTTTCACCAAGCTCTGCACATGGGATCTCATTGTGTTGTGTCAAACCTGCTCACGACCCTTAGGTGGGCAGCAAATGAGATCCTCCCTCCACCCCCGCCCCTGCCCCTCCGCATGGGTTGGTAAATGTTCCCACTACTTTATGAGCGTTTTGAAATATCTTTCCCACGTCTCCCAAAGGACAGCCTTTTCTACCTCCGAGAGGAAGAGAAATATATACCACAACAATGGAGACCCACCACATGTGCACAAGAAGCTGCCGACAAGTGCTGGAGAGGACCGAGCCATGCTGCTAGGATTTGCAATGATGGGCTTCTCAGTTCTAATGTTCTTCTTGTTTGGAATAACCATCCTAAAGCCTTTCATGCTCAGGTAAGAAACAGAGAAAGACAGAGCCAGAATTTCCAATTCAGATCAGACGCAGGCACAATTGTAAAGGAGGGAGGCTGGTTTGATTTTTGCAGCCCTGTTAGCTGTTGTCTA